CCAGTCCACTTCTGTATTGGAACTATTTCCTTCAACTTCTTCGTAGGACATCTGTTGAGTACATACGTTGCAGTGGCAACAGCTTCTCCCCAGAGCTTCTGAGGAAGCTTCTTCTCCTTTAGCATGCTTCTCACCATATCAAGCAAAGTGCGGTTTCTTCTTTCAGCAAGACCATTGTGTTGAGGGGTATAAGGAGCAGTAACCTCATGCTCAATTCCATTCTCCTCACAGAACTTCTGGAACTCTTTGGAGTTATACTCACCTCCACCATCAGTTCTAAGAATTTTCAACTTCTGACCACTCTAATTCTCAGCCTTCATTCTGAATTTCTTGAATTCATCAAACACCTCGTGTTTGAACTTAATAAGGGATACCCATGTCATTCTTGTGAATTCATCAATAAATAACACAAAGTATTTATTCCCTCCAATTGATGCTACTGGAAATGGACCACACACATCAGAATGTACAACTCCTAAGGCATGTTTTGCTCTTGGAGCAACTTCTGACGCAAATGGCAAACGTGGTTGTTTTCCTTCCATGCAAACTTTGCATGACTTCTCAGGCTTCTTAATTGCAGGAATTCCATGTACCAGCTTCTTTGAATTCAGATGTTTTAGGCTTCTGAAATTCAAATGACCAAATCTTCTGTGCCACAGCTCACTCTCCTTCTCAGCACATGTTGCACTAAGACATTCTGAGTCTGCAGTTCTGACATTCACCTTGAATGTTCTATTCCTTCCCTGTTCTGACTCCATAATCAACTTCTGATTGTAGTCATACAGCTTCAGAAGATTGTCCTTCATGGTAACTGAAAAACCTTTCTCAATTAATTGTCCCACACTCATCAGATTGCTTCTGATGCCAGGTACATACCACACGTTCTGAATCAATGCTGTTTTCCCATTGTTCAGAATCACTCTGACATTTCCCATACCTTCTGCATTAAGATATTTGTCATCAGCACATCTGATCTTTGTCCTCTTTTCAGAGTCAAAGTCAACCAGCCATTTCTTGTTTCCAGTAAGATGATTTGAACAGCCAGTGTCCATATACCACCAGTCTGTCAGATCCATATTATCAGATTCAGAAGCCATCAATAGCATAGATTCGTCATCAGAACTTCTGGCTATATTTGCTTCTTCTTATTTCTTTTCCTTGTTTGACCAACAATCTCTAGCAAAGTGACCAAACTTCTTACAACAGTAACATTGGATCTTCTTCTTGTCATACTTCTCTTTTCCCTTCTGAGGAGTCTTTTGTCTATCAGAGGTTGAGCTTTCTGACTTCTGACCACCATCAGATCTTCTCCTGGCTTCTGACTGCTTCTGATACCTCCTATCAGAAGTTGCTTTCAGAGCCTGCTGCTCTACTTCCTTTTCAGAAGTTCTCTCAGTCAAACGCAACTCTTGCGCTTCTAGACTGCTCTGCAGCTCTTCAATTCTCATGGTGCTCAGATCTTTGGAATGTTCTATTGCTACCACAATGTAATCAAATTGAGGAGTAAGGGATCTCAATACCTTCTCCATGATCGTTTCTTCAGAAAGAGTTTCTCCACACGCCTTCATCTCATTAGTGATCAGAATCACTCTGGAGATGTATTCAGAAACTTTCTCATTATTCTTCATGTTGAGGTTCTCATATTACTTTCTCAAGGACTGAAGCTTCACCTTCTTCACTGATGCGTCACCACCATAACATCTAACCAGTGTGTCCCACGCAGCCTTTGCTGTCGTTGAATCTGCAATCTTCTCAAACACATTTACATCAACACATTGATGAATAAAGAATAATGCTTTCTGATCCTTCTTCCTTACTTCCTTCTGCGCGTTTTTCTGTTCATCTGTTGCATCTGCTGCTACCGGAACATAACCATCAGTGACAAGATCTAAAACATCTTGAGCACCAAACAGTACACGCATTTGGATCATCCAACGATTCCAGTTTTTACCGTCAAATACTGGAAGCTTGGTGTTCATGTTGCCGTTTCCGTTCATCTTCACCTTGCACAATACACTCAGATTTCTCACACAGTGTTTCCCAACCCACAGAATAAAATTCTGATCAGATTTTGTTCAAGATTCAACACGAATCTAAGAATCAAAATCAAACACACAAGACCTCACGTTCACTCGTGTTTCCCGTGTTTCCCAATGAATCTGAAACGGAGCTCTAGATACCAATTGTTGGTGCAAAGGTGAATAAATGATGAACAAAGGAAATATTCTATTAAGAATGACGGCTATAAAAACATGATAAAAGTTACAATGATTGTCACCCTATTTATAAGCTAAAACTAGGGTTACTAGAATAAGATAAAATACTAAAATACCCTCTAACAAACTTAGGGGCTAAGAAAATAGTACAACTAAATAAATATGAATTACTATCAATATTCTAATACATAGTTTTTTGTTGACATCCTTCTTGAATCTTTATTCGAACCTGAAAACAGTAAACAAACACAACCAAAACATAAAATGCGGAAAATGAGAACACATTGATGAAAAACAGTGAACAAATTAGATAAATTTAACGGTGCAAAAACCACTTATCAATAAGTTGATTGATTTTGATGCAAGTAAAAAGACAAACATAAAACTAGCAGACAAAAATTCCATTACGGTAGAAGGAACGTGACATGTATCCATACAAAGAAAGGATGGTAAGGTAGCATTGATCAAGAATGTTTTGCTTGTTCCAGACATGCAATGCAATTTTCTTAGTGTAGGACAACTACTGTAAAAAGGTTTTTCAATGCTCATGGAGAATGATTGCTTGAAAATTTTTGATAGCAAAAGAAGAAGAATATTGAAATTTTGCTTGTCAATAAATAGAACCTACATGGTATACATCCAAAACATTGAGCTAATATCTCTTACTACAATATCTCATGAACAGGAAATTGAGTTATGTCACAAGAGATATGACCATTTGAACTACACAAACCTAAGCCAACTGAGTTCAAAAGGGTCGGTGATTGGAGTCCTAAGGTACAAAAACCCGAAATCTCTTGCATAATATGATTGGTGGGAAAGAAACCTTGAATAGCCTCCAATTGTATACTTCCTATGAGAGCTAAATAACGACTTGGTGTGATGCACTCAGATATTTGTGGACCACTAGATGTACCTAGTTATTGCGGGAAAAAAAATACTTCGTCACCTTTTTGGATGAGTTCTCAAGCGTGTTATGGATTTTCCCAATCAAATCCTAGAGTAAAGCCTTAGAGGTCTTCAGAGATTTCAAAGCAATGGTAGAAAGAGAAATTGGCATGCTCGTAAAGATCTTGAGAACATATGGTGCAAGAGAATACTCCTCAAAGGATTTTAACTCTTTTTGTACAAGTCAAGAAATCATTCATGAAGTCACAACACCATACACTCCTCAATATAAAGGCTTGGCAGAAAAAAGGAACATAAGAATTCTCAACATGGAAAGAAGCACGTTGAAGAACAAAAATCTACCACATAAGTTTTTGGGTGAGGCTATATCTACTAGTGCTTATATCTTGGACATATGTCCCACAAAGAGGTTGATGAGCAAAGTTCTAGAGGAATCTTGGTCAAGAAGGAAGCCTAGTGTAAATCGCTTGAAGATTTTTGGTTCCTTGACCTACAAGCACATTTCTGATGCCAAAATAAGGAAGTTGGAGAGCAAGAGAAATTCAATGGTCCTTGGAGGCTACCACAACACATGAGCCTATAAATTGATCAATCCTAATATAAAGTAACTTGCCATTAGCAGAGATGTGATAATCTTGGTGAAATAGGTTTGGAATTGGAATGCCAAAGACAATTATGCTATCAACACTTCAGTTCCTGTTCACTGTGAAACTTGTGATGTAGAGGAGGATAGAATTAAGGATATAGTAGAGATTAAAGATGGCTGTTGCAATGAAGTAGGCACTGATGGAAAAATGATGCATCTTGCAATGTTTGTAGATGCTGAGCCAATTGATTATCAAGCAGCTCTCAAGGAACATGCTTAGAAGGATACCATGGTTGAACAACTCTCAACCATAGAGAAGAATATAACTTGGAAATTAACCAAGTTACCTGAAGAAAAAAAGGCTATTGCAATCAAATGGGTGTTCAAACTCAAAGTGAATCTTGAAGGAAAGAATGTCCATCACAAAACTAGGCTCGTTGCAAAAAGCTTCCTACAGAAATAAGGTGTTAATTACAATGAAGTTTTGTCACTAGTTGCAAGACATGAGACGATCAGGTTGGTAATTGTCTTGCCTTATAATAGAGGATGGCCTCTTTTTTATCTCGATGTACGAGTTAGAAAATCCAATCAAACTGCTAATAGACAACAAATCAACAATCAACCTAGCTGAAATTTTCATTGTACATGAGAAGAGCAAGAATATAGAAATCATGTTTTATTTTCTTATGGATCAAGCCACCAAGGAGAAGCTTGAAGTGATGTACTGCCCCATCGAAGAACAAGTGGCTGATGTGTTCACCAAAGCCATTAAAAAATTGCAATTCATAAAATTGAGAAGGAAATCTAGAGTCATAGCATTTGATAGCTTGAATTAAGAAGGGATGTTGAGTTTAATCTAAATTATCTTAATATAAGTTAGTTATGCTAATAATAGTTAGTTAGAGATAATTTGTTTTGTTTTTTAGTTGGTTACGAGTAAGAGTAAGTAACAATTATTTTGTATTTAAACAACTGTTACAGACCAATGCAATTACAATCTTGTCTCTCATTCTGATAACTCCACTTAATTACTTTAAGAATTTTATTTTCTCTACTTTTTCCTTTTGTTTTGCTTTGTGAAAAAAGAAAAAGATTTGAATGCTGCATAATGGAATTTGATACAAATATTAAACCTTATCTCACAATAATATTATTATTTATGCGGAAAAGTCACTTCACTACACAATAGATAAATATAATCAAACACATGCATAAACTTATTACAGATTTATTTAAATCAACTTTTTATTTAAACTTTATTTCATATATTTTAGATTTTAAGAAAAGATTCAATCTTCAAGTCCAAGTTGAGTGAAGTGAGGACTTTTAAGTGCCTCTTGAAGCAACTCATCATCATCCCAGGAATCTCTATATGTCTCCAAGTTGACAATAGAGTTGACAATAGATGAAATGCACAACACTTTTCTCCATTCTTGCAATGGTGGAAGTCCTACATTCTCTCCATATTTGTCACAATACTGCAAAATGTAACAACAAAATCCCACATTAGTTTATAATAATGAAGTGTGAGAATGCAAATTGCTAGCTATAGTAATATTAGTTTATAGGTGTAATTCTGAAGTGTAAACCAAGAAAGTGATTACATTTTTTTGATAACTCTTTTATTTATTTTACCTCAAAGTCTCCAATATCATGAGTAGGAATGCCTGCTACTTCTCTTGAATGGTAGAGCTCTTTGATGGATTTCATCATTTCATCCCATGATGGTAATGCTTTTTTCCCAGAAAGCAATTGAGCTACCCACATTGCTTGGGACTCAAAGAAAGGGAATCCTAAGATCTGCAATACACTCATCAATCAAATAGTTCTACTCTTATATTAATCTATCATACATCAATAAATACTACACATCAGACATCAGACACATCTTCTATTATCATAAATATCATATTAACGTCACATACCAACTTGTTATGAAACACCAACATAGATCTAATATTGATATGTCAACATCATTAATGATTTCACAAAATTGAATTAGTTGAATATAGTCGGATGTGTCGACATCAGACACGACACATGTCATACATCAAACATGTTTTCTGTTATCTAAGTAACATCTCTACTCTAAGTAATACGTGCTAGACACCAAACATGTTTTGAATATAAAGTGTTGGTGCTTCATAGATTAAAGATAATTTTTAAATGATTTTTTTTAATGGTAGTTTACCTTTTTAGGAATGCCTATAAAAGAAAGAGATGGAGCAAGTGATGGTGGAAAAGTGTGCTCAAACAAAGGGCCTACTCTGTCATCATCAACAACCACCATTCCTTTGGTGTCAAGAAAAGGGAAGCTATAGGAGTACCTACAAAACAACCACTTGATTAATCTGAAACATCTTCAATTATTAGTATTCACATCTAAATTACTTTAAAAGGAAAATTTAAAACATATAGCTAGACATAGTCCCTACATTTAAATAATCAAGGTAATCAAGTTCATAATTATTCAATCATAGTATCTTTTTCACCTAACTTAGTCAAGTTTACAAGATTGATTTTGCTCTTTAGTTAAGTATGCTGTTCATGATTGCTCGTAGATTTTGTTTAATAATCAATCTTTTCTTTTGACAGCTTGGTTTGTCTGGTGATGATGTAGGGACTTACCCTGTACAGTACAAAATAGAGTCTGCTTTAAGCCAAGAACCATCCTTGAAAATCACCCTTCCATCCTCTTCAAGTGTTTCAATCTGCACAAAGCATCAATAAATCTTATTTAATCATAAATAGTGAATTTTTCATTGAAAAAATGTGTGTTCATATTAGTGTTTGTATTTAAAACTGACACCTCTTGAAAAAAAAGTGTTTTAGTGTTTTCAGTGTTAGTGTTCGAAACTGACATTTTTAAAAAAATGTTTGTCTAGATAGCCTGTTCGGAACTGACACCTATAAAAAAAGGTGTGTCCGTGTAAATATTTATGTCTAGTCGATACATTTGAAAAAAGTGTGTTTGTGCTAGTGTGTCTGAAACTGGGCACTGTCATTTCTGATTGAATTTAATTTATAAATTTTTAAAATCAGTATCGGTGTCATGTCATGTTTCCGCAAGGAGATGAAATTTAGTTTTATTCTTTAGTTTTATATAAGAACTTGAATATCATCAAAATGTTATTTATACCTGTGGATGAAGATGTAAGGTGTCACGTTTGGATATGACTTTAGAAAAGCCTTCAGTTATAGTATTAAGAGATCTTGAACTTATATGGATTTCCTTTGCTACTCCCACTAGCTCTATTGCTATATCTTGTCCACTAAAGGAATTTCCAACTACCACCACAACCTGTGAAATCCAAGTTTAATTTAATCACCTTAAATAAAGATTAAGTGAACATGCTTCATTTATTTGTTAAAAAATAAACTAAGATTTAGGATAGGAAATATATATAATATATATTACCTCATTGTGGAATGGTTCTGGAGTCCTGTAAATGTGACTGTGCATTTGTTTTCTTTTCCATGAATCCATTCCTGTGTTTCACAATAGACATGAATAAAAATATATTATGCATTGCGGCATCAGTTTAATATATAACTAACTACATAATCAAATTCTTATCTATTTCATGAAATAAATTATCAAGTAGATTTAAGAGATTAGGTTATGTTACCTTTAATGGATGGCAATTTTGGTTGAGAATAATGCCCAGTGGCAACAACCACTGCATCAAAAACTTCTTCCATAGCTTTATCACTATTTTTCTCTTTGCTTCTAACAATCCATTTTAAATCATTTCTACAAACACCATTATCATCCAACATTCCAACATATTCAACCCTTGTGTTGAACTTTATCATCTCTCTCAACCCAAACCATTCACAAAAATCCTTTAGATACATAAGCACTTCAACATGACTAGGAAACCTCCTCATGTCTCTACCTTTCTTGATCAAAAATGGAAAGTCTGTGAATCCCATCACTTCCCTTGGAGATGCTAATCTTAAAGAGCTGTAGACACTGCTATGAAGTTTTAGAAAAGGGTTTCTTCCTAAAGGATCCTCCCCTTCGATATTTTGATCGTCGTATAACCATTGTCCTCCAATGTCATGGTTTTGTTCCAAGACTATTACTTTGTGACCTTCTTTTCTTAACTCTCGGGCCGCTACTATGCCTGACGGTCCGGCTCCAATCACACACACGTTCTTTGATTGGTTCATCGTCTCGGAAACCATTTTGGTTGGACAAATACGTCGAATATAGAAGAATCCGATATCAAAGAAATGGAGAGAGGGTGGATAGAGACAGAGAATCAACTTAGATCCTTTGTTTCTATACAACCTCGGAAGCACGAAAGGATAAAGAGAAAATAGAGAAAATGCAGGAGAGGATCTGAGAGAGACCGGAGAGAACTATGTTGGAAGAGTGAGAGTAACTAGGAAGGTAAGAGATATATTTATAGGAGAAAGTTGAGAATGCAAAAGAAAGAGATTTTTATTGGTATGTGTTGGTGAGTGGAAGAGATTTTTATTGGTATGTGTTGGTGAGGGTAAGAGATTTTTATTGGTATGTGTTGGTGTGGAAGAGATTTTATAGATGAAAATGTTTTAAGTAGGAAAAGAGAAACCATGATTTGAGGGGATATTGATGGTTTGCTGGCTAGGAGACACACGTGAACATGTAAAATGAATGCTTTTTTTGAAGTTAGGACCTTAATAGTAACCTCTTTTGTGTTAACATGAAAAATGCTTCTTCTTCTATGACTTTTTATTTTTGTAAACTGCAAATTCTTTGATAAAAGTTGAAGTTTATAGGCATCATTGGTGTTCCATAATTCTACTTTAAAAGAAAAAAAGTTTACCTTTCTCTTTTGGTTTTGTATGGGCTGGTTTTGGTCTGCACTGCATGCATGTGTTTGGTATGTCTGTTGTTATGATGGTCTTGCTTTGACATAATTCAACCCTGAGGAACATGACAAAAGAACTTCAGTTATCAATAATTTACTCTAAGGTCTAACTCTTATGTTTTACAAGTTAATTATTGGATATTGGTTATGTTGCATAGCCTTGATTTGTAAGCTAATCCAATTGATTTCTCAAAAGATTGACAAGTGTTGATAGTAACTACAAAGCTAAGGACTCGGAAGATTGTGCTATTGTGCACGAGATGGCTATGAGTCTTATGAGACTTGGGTTATGTCTAGTTAAATTTTAGAAAATTAATGGATAATGGATCAAAAACGCTCTTTCCACATGATTTCTAATAGGTCTTCCTTTGAAGATTTTTTTATTATGAACAAGGAGGACTTGTTCTCCTGCCAAATAATAAGTATTGTGAGATCTCTAAAATCGGTATTGTTACTGTTGTAATATGCTTTAAAATTTTAAGTGAGAAAAGAGATGATTTTTTTTAATACTACAATTTTTTTCCTTACGAGATAGCGTTGACTGAGGTGGTGTAGTAGTTAGTGAAGTTTGGTTATTTGGTACTGACAGATGAGTCTGTCCGGCCGGTGACACTAACAAGTGATAGATGTCGTGCTGCGAAAAATATAATGTCGCCGTCGAATTTTATTTATTCTAAAGAAAAAGGAAAATATCGATAAAACCCTTAAAGATGAAAGAAAATTGTCGTCGCAATCAAGAGCGGGTTCGGAAATCAGTTATGTAAGGAGAAGATATTAACACCCTTCACATCCATTGTACTCAATGAAACCGTTTTGATTACTCTTGCGCGGATGAGTGTTATTATCTAAAAGTTACTTGCAATTGGTTTTAATTAAGGAAAAATAAGTTTTTAATTAATGTGCTCACCAAGATTTCGAAATCCTATGCCTATGTATTCTCATAGTGCAATGATAAAATTAAAACCCCATAGTTTGTGGGAGAACAAAATAAGAATTTCTTGGTTGTTTTTATTGAACGATGTTAATGTTCGCGTTCTGTAACGCCTCGATTTTGATTTCCCATTTTTCGAGTCTTTTTGATTTATTTGGATGATTATTATTTTAATTGTGGAATTTATGTGTTAATATGTTATGTTTGCATATTATGCTATTTTACCCATTTTGAGAGTTTCGGGGAAAATAGATTGGAGGGTATTTTCGATATTTAATATTTAATGTTAAGTTGAATATTTTGTGAGAAAATGGATTTAGTAGATATTTTGAGGGAAATAGAATAGAAAGAAATATAAGTGGAAAGAGGAGAGAAAAAGATAGAAATAGAAAGAATAGAAAAGGAAGAGAAGGAAAGAGAAAAGAGGAAAATTTGGAGAATCATCAATAACAACATCTAGGATTCGATTTAATCGGGTAAGGGTGTGAAATCTTATTATTCTCTCAATGTGTATGATTATGTATGCTTTTGTTGGATTGGTTTGGATGTGGAGAGTTTTTACTCATTTTTCATTTAGGGCAGAAGTTGGTTTAATCGGTAGAAATCGATGTTTTAACGGTTAGAATCGAGAATGAATGGTGTAGTTTAGCCGAGGAATGTTAGTCTAAGACTACTGGAACTTGTTGGAATTAAATCAGATGATTTTGTGGACTTATGTCATTTTGGACAGTTGGAATTTTGAACATCGCAGACGCTCGCTAGCACCTTCGCTAGGCGAGCAGGTCGCGAGTGTTCGCTGTAGCGAGCTCGTAGCGAATGGTCCCAGACTTGGACAGAATGGAAATGATCTTCTTCGCTGGTAGCGAGTGAGGTAGCGAGGGGTTTGCTAGGCGAAGCCCCAACGAGTGTATAGCGAGCACAACCAGTAGCTTAGGATCAGGCTTCGCTAGCATGTTCGCTAGGCGAGCCTGTAGCAAATGTTCGCTAGGGTCTCGCTAGGCGAGTAGGCTAGCGAACATGACATCAACTTGTTTTATTTTGTTGTTTCCATCCAACGTTGACGATTCCGATATATATGTTTATAACGTATAGTTGTGTGCTGTTATATGATATGTTGTGGGTAGCCGTATGGCGTGAATCCTAGATTATGGAATCGATTGTGAAATGTGGCCTTTTGCCATATATATGTGCATTGCTTAATTTGATTAAAAATGCATGGTAATTGTGATGGAGTTTGTTGCCGTTGGGCATGATATTGTGAATGCATAATTGATTGTATGCGATAGAATGTGATAAATGATGAATACAATATGGAAAATGCATTATGAATGTATGATGATTGTATGAGAATTATATGAGTAGAATGCATGAAAACATTATGAATGTGTATGCATTTCAAGAAGTGTATGGAGTCATTTTGCATGTGAAGCATCATGATATACATTCTTGTGCTGATTGATTCTACGTAAAATCTGCGGAATGATTGTGTGCCCATGTGGGGTGTGAGCAATCGGATTGTGTGCCCCTGTGGGGTGTGAGCAATCCATAAACATTGTGTGCCCATGTGGGGTATGAGCAATGGGTGAACATCGTGTGCCCATGTGGAGTGTGAGCAATGGTTCCAATAAGTTCATGAGTGAACTTGAGATGATTGAGTCGGTACCGCATTTGCATCTGCATAGAGTCGCGAGTCGGTCTCTATGAGTTGCATTTATCATCATGAATTGTGTATTGGTAAATAAACATAATTGTAAATGTTTATGTGGAGTGATGAATATGTTTAGTGTGAATATATACATTGTGATGTATATGGTGTGAATATATAGGGTGTGAATATATCACAATGAATATATAGTGTGAATATATACATTGTGAATATATATCATGATAAATATGCTTGGTGAATTATATATATGTTGCGATATATATATGATTGTATTGTGATGAATGTGGTGAGAATGGTGATATGTGCATTATTATGTAAATATATAATTATATGCATTGATTATTCTGATAATATTTCTCACCCTTCTGCTGTTTTATGATGCTCCATGAGGCATTGCAGAGTAGGATTGCTGGAGGTCTTTTGTGAAGCGTGGCTTCATTCTTTTTGGTCGGTTGGCTCTGATATGTAGCCCCGGGTAGCTAGGATTGTATAGAATTCTTTGTGATACATTTGTATATGTATCTGCTGATGAATGTTTATGAAAACATGTTGAATGATGATGTGAAACAAACTGAATGATATATATATATATATATATATATATATATATATATATATATATATATATATATATATATATATATATATATATATATATATATATATATATATATATATATATATATATATATATATATATATATATATATATGTTTGAAGTGATTCAATGTTTAGATTTTCCGCTTTTATTCTAAATATTGAGATGTGGGTGTAAGGACTAAGTTCCTCTGTTTTGAAAGTTAGCCCACTGTTGCATATCTCGTTGAGCAGGTGTTGTATGTTTTAATTTCATGGATAATGTGACGTACCTCTTTTATACCATGTTTTAAATATACTCTGATAAATGAATTGTTATATGTGCCTAAATGATTTATTTGATTATTTGTGGGTATAGAAAGGGGGTGTTACATTAAGTGGTATCAGAGCCAATGTTGAGTCAGTTGTGTCTGTCTCGTTGTTGTGTTGGTTAAACAGTTGTTTAACCTTGTTGTTATTTTTGGGAATAATCAGAATATGGCTGGTCGTAATGACAATGTGATGGCTGCTGCATTGGAGGCAATGACTAGAGCGGTGCAGGGTGCGCCGAATGCGAATGCTAACGATGAGTTCAGGAAGATTTGATCTCGATGGTGCCCAAATTTGGTTGAAAGAGATTGAAAGAATCTTTCGAGTTATGGGTTGTGCAGAAGAGAATAAGGTGAGACTTGGGACTCACATGCTGAGAGAAGAAGCCGACGATTGGTGGGTCGGAATGCGACAAATTCTTGAAGTAGATGATGAAGAAGTAACTTGGGAGTTATTTCGTACTGAATTTTTGAGGAAGTATTATCCCGAGAGTGTGAAGGGAAAGAAGGAGATGGAATTTCTTGAGTTGAAACAAGGTGGTATGTCCGTAGTGGACTATACTGCTAAGTTTGTAGAATTGGTACAGTTTCATCCTCATTATGTTGCGATTACTGTTGAGTTTTCTAAGTGTATTAAGTATGAGAATGGCTTGCGTCCTGAGATTAAGCAAGCGATGGGATACCAAAGAATAAGGAGATTTTCGGATTTGACCGAATGTTGTAGAATTTTTGAGGAAGATAGCAAGGCTCGTTCTATTCACTATAAGAGTTTGAATGAGAGGAAAGGAAAGCAACAAGTTAGGAGTGGACCTTATATGACACCTGTT